TAGATATTTTTTTCGTTATCCGAAAAAAATCATTGAATTGGGTATGAGTTTAAACAAATACTCGAGTTCATTATCAATTCAATGATTATGAATAATTAAATTAAAAACATTAGGTCCAAATAACATTACCCAAAACAATTATATAATTTCAATGTATAATTTCATGGAGAACCCCGTCGGTTCCACTGTGAATTAATTGACTAGCTTTGGTGTGGGAGATACGGTCATGTGGCTTGCTCTTCAAAGGCATGAAGCAGGCTCATCTTGTATTGTTTGGATACATGCTCAATTCCAATTTGGTGGCTGCCAAAATGTGGGTTTTTTAGTGACCCTATTTCAAAGTGTATGACCACGTGCAATGCTTAATATTTGAATTTGAAATGCATGTTAAAATCGTGCGTGTCTAAGACAAAGTGCGTAATAATTAATAATATTAGAATCGTTGATTCTAGTAATATGAAAACCACGTAATTTGAACTTCTTTTATTCTCTCTCGTCCAATGGGGTGGTATATCAGGACGGTAACAAGTAAGGTGAAAGTCATCTTTATCACCTAGGTCGGGGCGGCTTCTCAATTAAAATATTGCCCCTAGTCTTAGTTCACTTTAGGCAGTGGGTGGAGTATTTTATGAGTTTGAGTTTTGGACCTTCAATGTATAAGAAATACTACAAGAATTAGGGTATTTAGAGACAATTTTTTTGCGGTGGTTGTGTTCACTGTCACAAAAAATATGCTCTAGGGAAAAAAAAAAGTTTTTTATGGTGATAGTACTACTATAAAAAGTTTATTTGTTGTAGCAAATAGTGTTTGAGATAGGTTATTGTCGCCACAAAAACCCATCCGTAATGCTCCATGTTTTTTTTTTCTGCAAAAAACCTTTTTTATTTCTTCAAAACATGTTTTGTTTTCTTCAAAACAGAACACCCCAATGTTTGAATATTAAATTGAAGAACAGTTGGTGTTAATTTGAAAATATTTAATCTTAAATTGTTGATCAAATACTAATTGGTGAGTTTGAAAGCTAATTTGATGAATATCTGTGATTAGGACAAGTATTGGAGTTTTAATTTTGGTTTTGCCACCAAGAAATTCTTCATCATAAAAAAACTGAAACGAGTAGGAGATTTTGACGCATTGAATCATATCTATGGAAACTTCTTCTGACTAGTGGCTCGGTGTGGTTCCATTCTTGTCTGTTTTCTATGTTCTCTCTTTTTTCGTTTCAAGCTTCTAGAACTCGGGAGTCAACAAAAATTTAAAAATTATTTTTTTTAAATATTGATCGAAATATACTAAAAAATCTTGAAATACTTTGAAACATTCCGACCACTCATGAACAGTATCCTTTGTCTTTGGAAACTTCTCCTGACTAGTGGATTGGTGTGGTTTACTTGTCTATTTATTTTCTATGTTCTCACCTTTTGGTTTCAAGATTCTAGAACTCGATAGCCAACAAATATTGCCTAATAAGAAAACCGCCAGCTCTTCTTGTCTTTTTGCTTTTAATTTTTTGTGTGGCTTTTTTGGGTACTTTTAATCAAGGATTAACACATTGTTTCGGTATATTATTTCAGTCACTTAGAAAAGAAAAATATTTCAATCTATTTCAAAAACAAAATGAAAAAAAAATATTTTAGAAAACATTGGTCAAAATATACCGAAAGGGCTCATAGACATCAATAGTCGAGTATTTACACAAATGGAGGATAAGGATTGGCCTAATGATCACCACAATTTGCAGTTAAACCGTTAGGTCACAACAACCAACGACTAAGAAATAGTGAACAAATGTATCTCATAAATGAACGATAAAAATTGACATAAAACCTATTTCATGATTATCCAACGACTATTGCATGGGAAAATTATATTTTCACTCTGTCAACTATAACGCGATCTCACTTTACCCCTCAATTGTTAACTTCCTCATGTTACCCTCTCAACTATTTGAATATGTTTTACATTGGATCAATACCAATCATCTGTCATATTTTGGATACAAAATGTCAAAATACATAGTATAATATAGACTTTCAATGTCTACAATTTGTGCAATGTAATGTAAGTTGATAGTTATATTTGACGGTACAAATTTTAAAAAAGTAATAGTTGGGGGCCAATGTGAAATCAATAATCTATTTTGAAGTGCTAAGAAACATAATAAAAAAAGAGGCCGTGTGAAAAATGACATAAGCCAGAGTTGGCTGTGGGTCTTAAGTGGCATACGGATCCAGTGGTGCTGACGGTGTTGTTGGTGAATGAGGTTACTGGGTGGCAAGTGAAACAAGGTGAGGATTGGATTGATGTGGAGCCTGTCCCTGGTGGGCTCATTGTCAACATTGGTGATATGCTTCAAGTAAGTCACTCAATCACATGAACGAAGTGGTTGTGCCTCAGAAGGTAGGACAACCATTATTAATCTGTGTACATGGAAAAAAAAAAACTACATAACATCTACAGTCAACAACAAAATTCGATACAACATTACTTCGGTACTGTAGTGCTCTCCTATTCTCATAATTACTCAACTCTCTTTTGCACATGATGTCCAATGACAAATACAAAAGTGTGGAGCATCGAGTCTTAGCCAACCCCCATCGTGAGCCACGTGTCTCAATTCCAGTTTTCTTCACTTCAAGCAAGACAGAGGACTCGTATGAACCATTGCCAGAACTGGTGTCCTCGAAAAAGCCAGCTATTTATCAGAAATTCACAATCTTAGACTTCATGAGCAAATACTACTCAGAGGAGTTGCAGGGCAAGTCTGTGACGAATACCTACAAACTCTCGAACATATAAGTTCTAGTATTTGACATATAAGGAAGGAAATCATATATGATTTGCTTAAAATATTACAACAAAAGATTTCCTTAATATATATTTTATTGTAATGTTTAAAAGAAACAATAAATAAAACAATGGGAAAATGACACTTTTCCCTCATTAACTATGGACTCGATTGTACTTTGTCTCTTGAATTATTAAATTTTTTATATTGTCTCCTCAATTACTTAAATTATTTCACATTACCCCAAATAAGAACATTCACTATTTTTTTGGGAGAAAATTGCTAGCATGTTAGGGCAAAGTGAAAAAAAATCACACAATTTAGGTGACAAAATTAAATAATTTTTTGTCAAATTTGTATCGGATGTTAATAATTGGGGAGATGTAAGACTGATCACATAGTTGAAGCTGTAATGTGAAAAAATGATGGTTGAGGGGTATGTAAAGTTAACTCATAGCTGAGGGGGTAAAAGTATAATTTATCCTACAGGAAAACAAAATGCTATGTAAAAAATAATGGGATTAAAAAATTGCGAAATACTACTTTTGGATACCGTTACTCCACTTTTCATCCAATAAAAATGCGCCACATGTAATTTTTTTGTTTTTGTTTTTGTTTTTGTTATTGTTATTTTTATTACTTTGTGATTTATTCAATAAATTGTTAAAGACCATCCAAATAAAAATTAATTATCCGGACAAATTTTTGGCACGGTACAACCATTGTTAACATTTCACATGATTGTCATCTTTTTATTTTTAATTGAACTTTTTATGACTTTTTTGGACTAGAAACCTTCATATGCATTGACTTGGAGAGTCAATAGTTCTAATCTTTTAAAGGGAACAAAGTGAAGAATTAAGTATTTCGAAGATATAAAACGCAATTCATGGAAACTCCAATAGCCGGCATGCTACCAAGAAAACAATGTTTCAAATTTTAGTGAAAGATAAAGATAGGGAGGCTCAATAAAATTTGGGGCTCTAAACAAAAAATTTTAATAGGGCCCTTACAAAATGACTGTTTAATTATTAAATCTTCTCATGAAGTTATCGTGGTTTTTTATCAACAAATTTATCAAGGATTTTTTCTAATATTTAATTAGTTCATCCATTTTTCTCTTTTTTTTTTTTTTTTTATCGTTTCTCACATCCCGGTTCATCTTTACTAGTTAATAAATTCATGATTAATAATTCTTGTTAACAAAATAAATCTCAGCACAAAAAATGACTACTAAAATTCCAAAATCAATTATATTACAACGCTCCATAAAAATAGAACAGTAGCATGTGATGTGTTCATCTCTCAAATCAAATCAGACTGATAAAAACAAAAAAATAAAAATAAAAAATTTACTAATTGAGAAATTCAATGCTTGTACAAGTAAGAACTAAAAAAATTTGTGAAGTGAATTGTATGAGTTAATGGAGAGAAATGAGACATTTGTGCCGCTGTGTTCCTTTTTATACTTGGTGAACTTCAATATTGGGTGTAATTGCTTTTGTCAGACAGTGGAATGGTGGGATTGCGCAAGCATCCCCAACTGTCTCCACAGTGGAATGGTGGGATTGCGCAAGCATCCCCAACTGTCTCCCCCTTGACAATGAGACACTCGGATTCACAGTAGAGGCTGAGGAGATAACGGCTTTAGAGGTGCCTCATCATTGTACAACCCAGATTAGGTACAACTGTATTTGTCGTCGATCCTCTTCAAAAAAATCTAAACCTAACCCTTATCTGCCTACCCCTCAGAGGATATTGACTAAAATAACCTCAAATCATCTGGCCCTAAAATCATGCATAACAATATAAAATTTAAAACTGTTAATCAAATTGAGTTATTCGAACCTGATTTGAGTTTAGTTCGTTCAAGCTCAGTTTATTTTTTAAACGAGTTAAAGCTTGAATAAATTTTTAGGTTCGCTTAAAAAATAAGCTCTACAAGTTCGACTCAAACTCGACTCATTTATGTGCAAATATCCGGGCTCAGCTCATACTCGACTTATTTTTGGCTTGTTCAGGCTTGCTCATTTTCTAAACGAGCCAATCTTGAATGAGTTAAAAACTTGTTTTTCAAATTCGACCTAAACTCAGTTCGGACTCGTTCGACTAACAGCCTAATTGAAGCCATAAATATGACCCAAAGACGTCCCTCTAAAAATACATACTAGCCCAACCCAATCCCAGCAATTAAGCCTAGACCCCAGAATGGCCCCACAACAAACAAATGGAGAGACTTTGTGACAGATGGATGAGACTTCATGAAAAACCTCACCCGTGGCCACTGAAATTGGTCGGCCTCTTCGACCTAGTCCCAACAAACTTGTAGAAACAAATGGTGTCTCGCTATGGATTTTGATTTGAGACAAGATTAATTACGTAATTTTATAGTCCATTGTATGTGTATGTTTTGGGAAAAGTGATTCATGATTTGTTAATGTATGTCATTTTTTTGTAACATATGGATGATGGATATTGTGTATTGTGGTTAGTTTGGTAGTTGGTACTTGTTGTTAGTTGTGTTGGTTGAAAATAGGATATATGTATTAGTTGTGTTCGTTGTTGGATACATTGGAGTCTTTGGTGAATGGTATAAGTTGTGTTTATGGGAAGTTGTGTTCTTATGTTGTTATTGTGGTATTATGGTTAGTTTGGTATTTCTTACTAGTTGTGTTGGCTGAAAATAGGGTAAATTTATTTGTTGTGTTGGGGGTTGGTTGAAAATAACGTAAATTTTTGAGTTCTATTGGTTGAAAACAGGGTTAATTTATTAGTTATTTTGGTTTTTGATTGGAAAATAGTGATAGGAATCATTGGTGTTTTTTATTGATTGAAAAAAGGTGCCAAATTTTCTTGGAAACTGTTGTTTAAAATCTATGAAGCACGGATACGGATACGAGATACGGGTATGATACGATACTTGATACGGTGATACAATAAAATCTAAAAAAGAAGGATACGAGTACGATCAAGATACGACTATAATAAAATATATTTAATATTTTTATTATTTTTAATCAGCATAATACTTATATATTTTGGTAGTTCTTTAACACAGTAAGAAAAATTTGTAATTCTTTTTAGTTTGAATAAAATATATATTGCATCACTATGGTATATTTACAAAGTGAAGTGATTAATTAAAGGAATCAACGCTAACATTACTTAGTCAGTTTATTTAGAAGTGAATTTTGCTAAAACTATAATGTAATAGATTCATTTTATGCTCTTTTAATATGTAATCGTAGATAATACTTAAAAGAATACTCTTGTGCCTTTGAAGTAGTATGAATTTTTGTAAATGTATTGTATGGTATGTGAATTCGAAATGAAATGTTAAAAATTCAACTCAAAAATTATATATATTATTTGAACACAAAAGTATCCGTAAAGTATGCTAATATTTAATTATTATCGGATACGTAAGAGGTGTATCCGATACGTATCTTTGAGTATCCAACGAGTATCGTATTCGATACGGATACGCCGACCCCAACAAAGTATCCGTGCTTCATAGTTTAAAATAGGTTATTTATAAAAAAAAAATTACTTTTTTGTGACGAAAATTGTTTAGTGGGAAAATGTTGAACATAAATTATATTTTACGACAATTTAAGTTTACGTCGCGAAAGATATTTATTTGCGACATTTTTTCTTGCATTGCGAATAGGGATGGGTAACTTTTTTTGTTAGTTTGACGCTTGAATTTTTTATCACGAATTTTAGTTAATTGCTACGTTTCAATTGCATTGCCAATATATTTATACTCTGATTAATCCAATCTTATTTGTGACAATTTATTTATGTCGCAAAAAATCAATTAAATTATTTAATATTATATTTTTTTTCCAGTGACATCAAAATATAATCTTAACGACATTTTTTTATTTATTTTGAGTGATGTTTATTTTATTTTACGTCACAGAAAGTATGTTTTCGTGACAAGCAGAAAAAATAATTTGCGACTTTTTTTTTTTTTTTTTTTTTTTTTGCGATGAAAAAGCGTCACAAAAAATGAATTTTCTTGTAGTGGTCCCTGACCCGTGACATAGGAGAACCCACCACAATATCTATCAACCCTAACTTACTTCAAGAGTACCCTAACATAATCCACAACCACATTTCAAACAAGCTTTTACCCCAACCCAAGGGGTTTTGAAAAAAAATTTCCAAAAAAATGGTTTGTTTGAAAGTATTTTCCAAACTTATGTTTTTTTAAAAACGTCAGTTAGTCGGACGTTTTTAGGCCAAAAGACGTTAGTTGGTCTGACATTTTTAGCCTAAAAACGTCAAACCAAATAACATTTTTGGCTTGAAGAGTGACCTTCTAGAACCCTTAAAAATATTAGTCTAATTGACGTTTTAATTAAAAACGTTAGTTGTACTGACGTTTTTAAGTTAAATCTGAGCATCATTTTTTTCCCTCCTCTTATTTCCTTTCTCTTATTTTTCCTTCTTCCCCCATCTGAGCCCTAACGTTTTCGGGCGAGAGAAATAGAAATCAGCCTCACCATCTACACCCCCCATAACAGACATTCAATCCACCTTAATCAACAGCCCAAATCAACAAAAGTTACTCCTTCATCAGCACCATCTGAAACCCTTAGCCAACTGCCACTATCGGTCACCCCCAATTCCAAGCACCACCACCACTGCAACACCACCTAGCACCACCCACCATCGAAGCCCCAAACCCCATCACCACCCAGCACCACCCACCATCTGAAAGGCCCAACCCTAGCACCACTATCACCACCACCAGTTTCAGCTGCAACCAATGTGTTGCATAAATCATCACCACCACCCCCACCCTCGAAAATCCCCAAAATCCCCTAATCTCCACAAACCCGCAACACCACCCACCACAGACACTCCACTGTTCCTCCATTAATAAGTTCAAAATTAATAGTTGAGAAATTAAATTAAAACAATTGATAATTCAGAGACCATTTTAAAATAAAAAACAAAGTTTAATGACTAATTCTAATATATTTTCTGAATTTAATAAATTGCAGTACTTATTAGATCTATAAAAAACCATAATAATTGTCAAACGTGGCCCTCTTTTCTCTTACGCATATGCTCACGATTGTGCAACTCAATTGTCAGCAACTGTCCAGTCCATACAGAAAGCGAGCCATTATCCCTTCCTTTGTGTCATGCTGTGTTTTTAAATAATGAAAATCGTAACGTTTAAAATTTTGGTTAGTTTATATCATACTCTAGAAGAATCGTAAATACTCAAGTTTGTATTGTGTATAATTCGTGTATAGTTGGACATGCCTTATGTTTTAACTAGATACATTCCAATCCATTCATTTGTTGGATCCCTCTTTTTATCACACAAATCTATTAAGATTAGACCTACATTGACTAATTTTGTATCAATTTCGTCTTGATTTCCTCGCGGATGGTGTATTTTCATCCCTTGTCAACGTACTATTTAATTTTTCTCTAACTTTATGTTTGGTAAAAGCAATTCAATAATACTAGTTGAATCTAATTTGTTGACATAATTCATCAACATCATTAGATAAAATCAACGAGTCTTTGGTCTAATGATACCCCTTCCCTTGTGAATGATTTGTCTTCTTGAAATTAAGAGTTGAAGTATCTTGGGCGATAAAATTATGGTTGATTGATAGAACAAACTTTAATTGTTTGGACAAACCTTATTTAAGTTTCTGTCACGGGTTTGAATCCCCAGTGAAATGCAGGTTCTGATTTAACTAGTATATGGATTGAGAGACCGATTCATACCCCTGAAATTTGTACTATATTCTATTCAAACTCACGAGCATGAGCGACATAAGTGCGCTTCTACTCGTTAGGGACAAACCAGATATTTTTTTCATTATCAAAAAAAAATCATTGAATTAATTATGAGTCCAAACAAATACTGCAGTCCATTATCAACTCAATGATTATAAATAATTAAATTAACAAATTAAATCTAAATAACATTGCTCAAAATAATTATATAATTTCAATGTATAATTTCATGGAGAACCCCGTCGGTTCCACTTTGAATTAATTGACTAGCTTTGGCGTGGTAGGTACCGTCATGTGGCCTGCTCTTCAAAGGCATGAAGCAAGCTCATCTTGAATGTGTCACCTTTTAGTGACCCAATTTCAAAGTGCATGACGAAGTGCAATACGTAATATTGGAATTTGAAATGCATTTTAAAATCGTACGTGCTTAACACAAAGTTCGTAATAGTGAATAATATTAGAGTCATTGATTCTAGTAATATGGAGACCACATAATTGGGACTTCTTTTATAGTGCATAACGAAGTGTAATGCGCAATATTTCAATTTGAAATGCGTTTTGAAGTCGTGGGTTTCAAGAACAAAGTGCTTGATGTTGAATAATATTAGAGTCGTTGATTCTAGTAATACAAAAACCGCGTAATTTGAACTTATTTTATTCTCTCTAGTCCAATGGGGGTGGTATATTGGGACGTTAACAAGTAAGGTGAAAGGCATCTTACAAATGAGTAACCCAAACATGATATTTGATATGGTATATAAATAAGGGAAGATAGAGTGATTGACTGATTATTTTTCCCCATCAAAATTAGTTATTCAAATTCATCTCATATTCTGTCCAAACAAAAAAATCCTAAAAATAAAAGCCTACGAGAAGTGAAAATTGGGCCACATTCATCAGTCCCACACCAATGAAACTTAGTCGTTGAAAGTCAATACCTACATGACGTGCCGCAATGGTGGTCGGTGAATGTTTTGAAAATATTGCAAGATTTTATTGACCTAGGTGCATTCCATTTTATGGTAACCTGCGGCAACCCT